ATGAGTAAGTCAACAAACTAATGATCGGTTTTCCACCCTGCTGATATCAGCTTAGAAGTTCGGCAGAAGGGAGGACTTTTGTCTTTTGCCCTTATTCATTTCCAATAGTATTTGCTTGATGTGTCACGGGTCGTGAGTCATGAATGTTTAACTTTTATCGCTTCCGCACGAGTAGTAAAGACAATTATGAAAAAGGATGTACCGCAATTACCGCAGTTTTTGTGAAAGAAAATGACTCATTCATAAATACCAAAAGGACACATCAGAAATCGATGTCCTATGCCAACAAATATCCTTTTTAAAAGCATTGTCAGATGCAAAAAAAGGTGTATTTCTGTCCATCTTCTTCTTCACTACTTTTTTCAAAGGATATGTAAGAAAGAAACTCTTCACCGCTCAAGAGTTTCCTCTCGTCACCTGAATAGGCACTCTCAAACTTCTAGTAAGGACATAACAAAATAGAAAAATTCTTAAATTTCGAGTCAAAACACTAGCCAAGAACGGCAGATATTTAAAATAAGGAGATCCTAGGTATAAAAGTCACAACTCAACAGGAACTCCAAAATTTCATAACATAACATTAGTAAAGATCAAGGGCTCATTCGCAGGGATAAATTCAATGCTGGTCAAACGCTGGTTATTATAGTCTTATTCTTGATGGTTTAAAGCTTCATATCAGTTAAACTCAAGCTACTCATTGAAAACGGAGGAATCTTCTTTCAGTCTTTCAGTCAATCAAAAATTTTTAGTCTAATTTTCGTTTCATGAATAATAATCGAGGAAACCTTTAAAAACATAGAGAATAGACTAATTCTTAATGTTCAATCACCGTTTTCTTTCTTAGTGGTTGTGAAACCTCAATCAATTGAATTTTTTGGTATTTGAATTGACTCAGCTTTGAAACCGCACACAAGCACTCCAAAGGTGAATAGATGTGGCAATGACGCAAAATATACAAATTTGATAAATGCGATACATAGGTCAATTTTATCTATTGTGATAGGAAAAACTCAAAAGTTCTTCGGTTTTTTACACTCAAATACCCTAGAAAATACTCAAACTTCTTTGATCTTTAGAAATTGGATTTTAATATATCAGAACAGGCTTGGATAGCAGCGATGACACCAGTGGAAACAAAGCACTCGGAAGGTTTTTTCTTCAAGACAAAGAAACTCACCCTTGGATCTGCTGTTGATTTGCTCTTTTTCCCTCTCAAGCGCTTTTAGTTTCGTTTCGAAAGCTTTGGATCGTAGTAAAGCGCGATGATCAACCTAAACTTTTCATAGAAACGTCTAATACGCAGATTTTCTGGATATCAACTATACTTTAGATGCTCCAAGTGATTCTCTCAGTATTCCTATGTGCTCTTCGTAAATGACAATATCTGCTTCAAGGATCTCAATCAGCTGATCTTGAGCAATGATAGCATCTGAAAAGTATTATTAAGCTTAAAAGAACATTGAAAACTTTGAAAATGTATACCTAAGTTCTACTCACTAAAAACCTGAATCAAGAACTACTAATGAGACATACAAATATTATACCTATTCCTTCACAAAACAAAACCTGCCAAAAGCATACTTCCCAGTCTCAGAACCCCAAACTTTTTTCATCACAAGTTTCACTAAAAAATGCTTGTTCCTATCTTCTCGCCCTAGAAAAAAAATACCTTTCAGCTTGTCAACATCATCGAGAATATCATGCTTTTGCCGTTCCATATACTTGATGGTATCTTCCGCTTCGGCCAAATCTTCAATAAGCTGATCCAAGAACTCTTCTCCCTGAGCAACCTGAAACAGATCTTTGCTCTATTCAGTTTTACCTACATATCAACAGGGGCATAATTCAAAAAAAGGTGACCTTTACTTCCCAATCCCGGTTCGTCTTCTCGCTAGCATCCAGCTCTTCCGTTAGTTTGTGGTTCTTCGTCCTAAAGGTGGGAATAAAGATTTTCTTGATGACTTTTAAGGAAAATACCTTCTTCTTTTCATGGCTCAGCAACCACCGATTGAGACGCGCAAGCAAAAACAAATATCCTCAATAACAGAAATTCCTACTCGTAACACGTGTTCACAGATTTAAATCGTTAAAATTCGACTTGACAAGTTAAAATTAGAAATTTCCAGTACGGAAAGGAGCACAGTTCAAGGGGTTTAACATGTTGAAATGGAAAAGAAAACTCGTACTTTTGAAAACTTGAAGACGGGACTGGTCCAGATTAATGCTTAGTCATTCTTTTCTAGCTTTGAGCCGTCTCACTGTTCCTGCACAAAATTGATTATCAACTCATTTTTTATTGTCCCAACCCAAAAACTTATCACACATTATGACAGATTTAAAGCAAGGTTTTCTGTAGAAGTTCCATATCATTTTGAAAATAACTAAATTAGA